TATATATATATATATATATATAGTATAGATGAGTTATTTTTAGTTTGTACTTACGGATATATTTATTATATTAATATAATATATCCGTAAGTACAAACTAAAAATAACTCATCTATACTTTCTGTCCCCCAGTGGGTCAGCAGTAGCTTTGCCGACTTAAACGCTAAAATCCGGCGCTCGATTCCCTGTGGTAGACACAGCGTAGATATTGTGTAGCTTTACATTAAAACATATAAACATACTTATTTTTTTAAAGAATGGGGGGATGAACAAAAACATCATAGCTTTATTTGAACTCGGTTATTATTTCCTCCATCCCTCTATGTATATAATTATGTAGAAACACATTCTATTATACTAAATATTCATTACTTTATACTACTGTCAAACACAGACTGTAATTAAGGCCTAATAATAGATATATTATCTGTGTTGGTAATGAATGCATAGTTTCGCATATTTTGATAAAAGTTTTAATTTTAATAAAATGAAGATCTGCTTTTGTTAGTTAGAACAACAGACGCAAAAAATACAACTTCCGTTTGTTTGTTACAGAACGACAATTCCAGGTGAAAAGTTTTTAATTTCAGACCTGGGACAGTATTATTTGCATGTAGTGTGACTTGTAAATTTTATATTTAATTTGTTTTTTAGGTTTTGTTTTGTTTTTCTTGCTTTCGTATGCACATCATCGAACCTTAAAAAATCGGATTCCTAGAACTCCAAAATACTTGGTATTGTAAAAACACACATCCTTTGTTTATGTTCTGAATTTTTTCTTACATGGGAATGTTCTGTAACCTCATTAGAGGTCGCTCTCTCACTACTTCTGGTATTTATCATATTGTTGTCGTCTGCTTGTTATAGAATACGTTCAGCGCTGAGCTGGGAAAACGAAATGAAAGATATACCACAAAGCGTCTCGAAACTTATAGATGACTGGCTGATAAGATTATGAGTGACCTGTAAGATGAGAACAGTTTGACATAGCCAGTCTGATAGATCAAGAAATATGTGAATTTATCGAATCTCTGTGGAACAAATAGCTTATTCTATACTGTTGTTTAATGCAAATTTTTTATAAGGCCAGACGACGATTTTATAACTAATATATCAGATTGTCGAAAATTGTGAAATACCAGCACCTGAAGACGCGAAGGATCGAGAAATAATGGCGGTAAAGCGATCTAGTTAAAATGTTTATTAATTGGTATAGACTTTAACGCTGAAATGTAATCAGATGACTTGATAAAAAAGAAATCTACATTTCGTGTTTCAGTTAGACTTGGAGCAGTAAATCTTTTTCAGCATCAGAAGGCCTGAAAAATATTTAGGACCTTTGCCCACTTTGAAAGACCTATTATCACACAACTTTAGAAGCCGTCAAACTCAAAGCATTGGACTGAGATCCAGGTATAAAGGCATTTATACAAATTTGTTTAAACTTGAGAGTATATTGGTTTTAGCTTTTTTCAACAGTGTTCAAATACTAAAAGATGACTAAAATGTGTTTTTAAAGAAGGCTTAGACATTTGTGTTTGTTCGGAATTACCAGAATCGTCATTGTCTAATTGTATTTAGAGAAAAAGAAAAAGTCACTTTTAGTACAGGATCACTCGTTTTCTTCAACGGTAATCTTAATACCTGCTTTATCATGATGAAAACTGAGTTATCGAAACAAAATGTAGAAAGATCGAGAGAAAAAAAATCATGAAATAACAGCAGAAGCGAATTCTAAGACAACACAACGTAGCCTCCATCATGGGAAACAGGATGAACAAGGTAACTGAAATTTATCAGCTACACAGTATTAAAAATGGAATAAACATATTGTGTAACTTATAAATTACATGCACGATTTTATGTTAACAATCATATCGATAGCACTAGAACTTAAAAGTAGAAGGAAGTCATTGCTGGTTGAATAGATTAGAAGTTGTTTTTTCTTTCTGAATACCATGCACAGGGATGTTAGATTTAAGTTGAAAATATAAAATACGTACTGTAATAAGAATCTTAAGTCCGTAGCCTGTTGTTTATTTATACATCTTATATATTGAGAGGTCTTCATGTGATTAACGTTATTATTGAAGTATGTGGTATTAGGCCTACACGGAAAATCACGTGACTACTTAACAAACTTTTGCTCCAGTTAATTATTACTAATATACATAGGTGGAGAAACGACGAAGCAAGTGGGGAGTCATCCTCCAGGTAAACTCTTGGTTGGGGCAGGTTAATACCCCCCTCACCCCATGTAACTTTTACTTCCTCTGCCTGTGAAATATTTCAGTTAAATTTGTCAGTTCTGGCTTTCACTAACTATGAATCGAATTAAATTTTCTGTAATCTAATAGTAATGGTCAAACATATTAATATTTTATAAAGTTAAATTACCCCCCCCCCCCCCCCACACACACACATATACATACT